AAAAATGCTCAACGACGGAGTCCCTCTCGATTCCCCTGGCATATGCAACACGCTTCACTGTGCGGCTCTGCATGGCCGCTGCGACATCCCGGAGACACTCACTGCTGCAACAACATCCCTGTTCTAACAGCAAAGGCTGCGCCGACGTGGGGACCAGGATGGTGCGAGCCCGATCCTCTCCGCCATGGGCAGTTGTAGCGAGTCCGAGGCCGCCCGGATCGTCGATACGTTGACCGACCTAGGGGCCTATCTCGCCCGCCGAGTTAGAGGCGGAAGCTATTCTGAATATGCCAAGGCAATGGCAAGGGCTAGCTGTCAGAGCACCTCGACGACGCCATGAGAAGAGATACCGATATCGCTCTCCATCCCAATAGCAATCCACCACGCATTTAGGTCATACCGCCCCAACCAGGATACAGTGACCGAGAGCATTGCATGTACATTGAAGACGTTCGCCCCTCGATCCACACTTCGAGCACAATACAGTGTCGGCTAGTTGAATCTCATGACTGGAAGAGGGACGGAAGCACTCATGATATAGTGCAGGCAGCTCATCCGACGTCGCGAGAGCATCTGGGTAAAAAGGATTATCCTTATATCCCAAAGAATAAGTTAAAAAGAGGCTAGTTATATAACTAAGGCTAATATGTTAAGTAAAATAATTTCTCTTATACTACTATAAATAACAAAGACTAAACGGTAGAAACCAAGGCTATTATTATTTATTCTTTCTCTACAGTCGTGGCGCATCGTGGGGTTGAAGCGTGCGGCGCGCGTGCGGCTGTGGCTGGCAGAAACACCACAACACAGCCACTGCCACTTGAGTTACATCTCAGAATCCAAGCTGGACGCTCGGATGCCAGGATGGAAGATGGGCAAACCTGCAGCCCCTTCTTGGTTCAAATTCCATCTGCGATATTACGCCAAAAGTTCGGACTGTGGACACGACTTGATTCATCAAGTCCTTCCCACTGTCTCTTATCTTTGTGAAGCTATGAGTGAGGGTATCTGGAGACCGACTCGCACGCAACCAGACTCATAAAAGAACTTGCTTGGACCTAAACAAACGACGATCGCCTGTTGGCATTACTTTGAGGTTGCTTTAGACTTCAGTGTTATAAATGGACGCATCAAGTAAAAAAAAGAAAGCACTAATTAATTGATTCCTAGGTTAAAACCTCCTCCTCCAATAGCTCTCTATGGATCTTCGTGCCTCGGACGCTTGATTGCGCTACGAGCTATCTGTGTGCACAACGATCGGAAGATTAGTCTGCACTTTGTAGACAGTTGCCTCCTTAGATTCCCCAACCTCCATGGGGCTCTTCCTTTCGGTATACGTCGGAGACGATTCCTCATCCCTAGCAGCATGGGACGGCGACGACGCAGCCTCGCTATCATCTCGAGGCCCAGGCTTCCTCCAGCATCCTGTCATGGCGCGCCAGCCCCGTCCAAGTGCTCTGTACATCACAGCGAACGGCGCACCCACCGTGATCGCGATCTTGCTGAACCACTCATCCGGGAAAAGACGGACTAGAACCGCATAAGGAACGCATAAGAAAGCCGTGACAACCGAGATGGCCCATTGCGTGTCGTCGATGCCACCCTCCTTGATGGAGAAGGCGCGGGAACCGACGTAGATGATGGCCACTTGCAGACCAACCATCAAAATCGTGATGCCGACAAAAAAATGGTTTCGGTGGATACCCTCAAAGATGTTGAGCCTGTTATCCAAGCGCCTGTTGTTGAACTCATTGAAGATCTGCATCCAGACGAAGGTGTTGAAGATGATGGTGTTAAGCTCGAGCATCTGGTCCTCATCTGCGCGGTCGTAGCCAAGGATCTCAGGGCCAGCAAAGTAAAGAACAAGTGACACAACTAGCTGGAAGATCGTTTGCGCTGTAATCATCTTCCACATATTTATTGTGATGAGAGGACTCTTCTTTCCCTGCGGTTGACGGTCTAGGATCCGATCTGTGGGTGGATCTGTGGCCAAAGCCAGGGCCGCGAATGTGTCCATGATGAGGTTAATCCAGAGAAGCTGGACAGCCTTGAGAACCGATTCCATCTTGTCGTTGGAAACGGATGTGATGAATGCGATAAGGACAGCGGTGATATTGACTGTGATCTGGAACTGGAGAAACTTCTGTACCGCGTCGTTCACTGCCCGTCCCCATTTCAGCGCCGTGATAATCGAGGTAAAGTTATCGTCCATAAGGATAATCGCAGAAGCCTCCTTAGCGACTTCAGTGCCTGACAGGCCCATGGAGAAACCGACGTCCGCGGCCTTGAGAGCAGGGGCGTCATTTGTGCCGTCGCCAGTCACGGCGACAGTCTCATCAAATAGCTCTTTAAGCTTAGTAACAAGTACGCGCTTATCCTCAGGTGAGGAACGGGCAAGCACCTGAAGCTTGGGGAGTGTCTGGCGGAGCTCTTCATCTGTGAGCTTCCTGAACTCGGGACCTTCCATCACGATGCCACCCTCGGTGTAGATGCCGCACTCTGTAGCTATGGCACGGGCAGTGACGACGTTGTCGCCGGTAACCATGCGAGTCTGGACGCCGGCGCTTCTAGCTTTGGCCACAGCCTCTGGCACACCAGGGCGCACCGGATCCCGAATCCCCACGACGCCGAGGAACGTCAGATCAGCCAAAAGTGGCTCGAGCGGGACAGTAAGATCAGTCTCCGTCCCTGACGATGGCGAAGTAGGGGTCAAGGCTTCACGTGAAGCATGGACAGGGGGCCACTGCTTGTAGTTTGCATACACAAGCCCGATAGTTCGCAAAGACTGGATGGCGTACCCATTGATCGTCGCCTCAAGCGCCCTCCGCTCATCCCTGGAGAGTTCACTTTGGCCTAGGCTTTCCATGTCGACCTTGTACTTGCAGTGCTTCAGGAGGATCTCCGAAGCACCCTTGACGAGCAGACGATAACCACCGCCCTCGTCCTTGCTAAGAGCAACAACTGTGGCCATGCATTTCCTCTTGGAGTCGAAATCCCACTTTGTTACGATAGTGTTGCTATTGCGAGCTTCCTCGACGTGAGGCATTCCAAGGTGATCACGCGCCAGGTGAAGAAGCGCCGTCTCCGTCTTGGAACCGACAAAAGCCGAGGCGTCGCCTTCTTCCTTGCTCTCAAAGGCGGTAGAATTGCAGGCAACGGAGCATGTGATGAGTCTGCGGGCGGGCTCAGAGAGCTGAGAAGCCCATTGAGAGACCGATGTGTGGCTGGTTGTTGACTCTGCGCTTGAAGGCTTCGAGAAGCATGTCGACCCAAAAGTGCCGGCCACTACTGTCATCTTGTTTGCTGTGAGTGTACCCGTCTTATCCGAGCAAATGGTCGTTGCGTTTCCCATGGTCTCACAGGCCCGTAAGACTCGCACCAGGTTCTTCTCCTTGACCAGCCTCTTAGTAGCAACGGCCAGTGCCAAAGTTACGGCAAGAGGGAGACCTTCTGGAACAGCGACAACAATGATAGTGACGGCGACAATCAGGATATTCAAGAAAGACGAGGCTTTCTCTGTTGCGATCCGATCGTCTGACGAGAGGCTTGCGAGAAAGCGGATCAGAAGAACCGCGAAGAGTAGACAAGCAGCGCCGCTACCGAGCTTCGCAATAGCCATGGCGAGGCCCTCGAGCTTCTTCTGCAGCGGTGTTGTCTCGATGTCGACGCGGACCGATACCATAATCTTTCCGAAGCTGCTGTTGACTCCCACGGATGTAGCGACAAAGGTTCCGGTTCCTGCGGTTCAACGGTATTAATTCAAGTTCTCTAGCGTGGAGATCGGGGACATGCCCAACGGGCGGGATGGTAGGACGAACCTTGGAGAACCTTGGCACCAGAGATAATAAAGGGATCCAAACCGCTGGTGTTGCGGCCCTCGGTGATAGCAGCCATCACAGTGTCGCCCGCTGTCTTGGGCAGAGCCTCTGACTCTCCCGTGGCCGAGGACTCATCGCACCTGACATCGCTGCCTTGGATGAAGATGCCGTCTACTGGTATCATGTCTCCCGGCTCCAGACTCACGACATCACCGACCAGCAGATCCTGTACATCAATGACTTGCTTCCTCCCTGAGCGAATGACCGCAACCTGACGTTCGTCCTTTTTGGCGTTCAGCTTGACAAAGGCGCATTCCTTCTGGTAGTCGTTGAGCGAGCCGACGAGGGTGACGATGGCGATAGCAGCGCAGATGGCCACGCCCTCGATCCAGTTGACCGGCATGGGCTCACTCGGGGGGTGCTTGACACCCAGAGTCTCGTAAAGTCCGAGCGCGAGGGACACCGCCGCTGCGGCGGTGAGTAGGATGAGTACCTTGTCGTTGTACGCGTTCCACATGAGCCTCAACAGCGAGGTCGGCTTCTTGGGCGGCAGTATATTACGCTTGAATACGCGGATGCGCTCGCCGAAAGCTTCAGATGACGGAGGGAGCTCGACCTTCATGTCCCCGGCCACCCCGTACACGGCCTCATCGTAAGAGATCCGCGTTCGGGGGGAAGTTTCGTCGACGCTCAGACCCGACGTGGCATCCGTCTGCAGACCGCGGATGATCCCTCTCAAGCCGCCGAGTGCCCGGAACACCGACAGAGATTTCGGATTCAGCAGCTTGTTGAGATGGCCCGGTGTGAAGGCGAACGGATTGTCCTGGACGAAGAAGTCTGCTTCCGTACCTGGGTATGCCTGGAGCGCGGCTTTTGGCTCCTCGAGGATGCTGCCCTGTGTGCTCGGCGCCACCGAAGACGCGGTGAGAGCTGTCAAGGCCAGAGTTTCGGCTTTGCTGGAAGATCTTGAGCGTGTGTCTATCGACTGGCTGGGCGGCGAGAGCATCTGCCCGTTACTACTAAACGCCATGTTGACACCACTAGTGTTGATGTGGTAGTTTAGCAAAGGGGACCTCCACACGCAGTCAAGGTAGCGGCTTGTGTGTACTCTTGCAGACAATTATGTGTTTCTAATAAGAGAGAGAAGTTTGTAGTTCAGGTTGGTTTGTCTGTTGAGTCTATCTATTCCTCAGCTCCTAGATCCGTGGACTTGACAGTGGCACGAGTTACACCTTATACGTCAAGGCTTGAAAAGCATACTGGTTCTTTTTCGGTGAGCCAGCGCTTGAGCACAACAGTAATGATCAGATCAACGCTAATCATCATAGATGATATTGGAGAAAGGAGGCGCAGTTTCTGAGCTCCCTGTTACTGAGCAGGGTTTGGAAGACTCTGGGCACTCCTCTCTCACGCCCGATGATATCAAGCCCCTGGAATCACGTTGCTCTACCGGCGGAGGCAAAGAAGAGAAGAGATCAACTGCTTCGCCACACAAATGGGGCGTCGAACATCCTCTATTCATCTGCCATGCAACTGTATGATATTTCCCAGGAGCCATCACCACCGATCGTCTGGTCATGATTCGCCAAAGGCGCCTCTTTAGTTGTTTCCGGTGGAAGGGAGCCCCAGCCTCGTGCCCAGTATCAGGACTAGGCATCGGCCAGAACTCCACAGGTATCTCGGCATCGCTTACAATCTCTTCATCCGGATGTGTCGACCAACCTGGTCGCACCTTGGATACGGAACATTGATCGTTTTGGGTAATGTTTCCGGGGAAGTTAAGCTTCGCACACAGCCGCAAAGCGACGGTGACCGGAAGCCGGAGGCGGAGCTATCTACCGAGTGCAATGAAGAGCCAAGACCACGCCACCGAGATGATCATTTGTTGTTATTAACCGATGGTTTCAAGCCTCGTGTTCACCGTGCAGGTCTCAGGGATGCAACATATGGATCCGTGATGGAGCGCTACGTCACGTCTCGAATAGGCAACCTAAGCGCCGGGGCAACGAAAGCTTGATTTGGATGCCAAGGCACTTGATGATGGGGTAGGTCTCATGAACAAAGCTAATGAACTAATCCTCATCGAACTTCTCAGTGCAACGACTTATCGCACTCGGTCTTTGAGTCAGATGAGCGCCGCGGGAGCAGCACAACGGGTCAGTCAGTGGTGACTTCTTAGAAATCTGCGGAGAAACTCTCAAGGCTTCGTCCTACATTTGATGAATAGTACAATGTTTCCCAAGAGTGCAGATCAGAGTCGAAACCCTTGCGCAAGAATTTTAGGAAATTGCCATAGAAAGAGATTTTTTTGACCTCTGATGTGATAACCTCTATTTCGCTATTGAGTCTACGAGATGTATACAAGGAGAAGGAAGAAACAGTAAACAACAGGAACGGACTTAGAGGGGGGCATGACGGCAGTTTCATTAGTTCTCATTTACGGGTTTGACGGCGTTCACCCCATTCGCCTCGTGCCTGTGCCCGTCCGTGAGCTCGTTCGTGTCCCCATTTGCATGTCCGTTCGTCACGCTGTTGGTGAAACCATCTCTGCTCCTAAGAACGGCCTCAAAGCTCCGCCTGTCCGCGTCCTGAATACCCAACGCCACCTTCGCAAAGCTGTCCGCCTCGGCGAGCAAGTCTACCTTGTTCGCCTCGTTGATCTTCCCGCAGACCTGAGGGTCGATCACGCTCAATCCATTCAGCGCACCAAGGATAGCGCCGACCATGACGCCGATCGAGTCGGTATCACGGCCCGAGTTGATCCCGTCTGGGACGCTCTTGGCGAAGTCGCCGTCATTGAGGAGGGCAAAGCCGAGCGCGATGGGCAGCTCTTCGATCGAGTGCAGCCGGGAAGGTGTGTATGCGGCAGTGAGCCGGCCAACCTTGGCCGAGCCATGATGGATATCGTCGCCAGTGTAGGAGAAGGGGGCGATGGCGTCATGAAAAGCCGCCGTCACTTTGGCATGGGACTTGCCCCTGAGGCCCGGCACCGCCTCCACGACGGCGGCGATGGCGAGCTTGGTGCCGTCCTTGGCCAACCGGAGCGCCTCGGCAACCACGGCTTCGATAGTCGTGCCGGGGACGAAAGCCGCCGCCACCGCCGCCGCCAGAACGCCCGCCGCCTCCAGGCCATAGCTCTCCTGATGCGCACTGGCAAAGGCAATGGCCTCGTTATACGCCGCCTGGGGGTCTCCGGCATTCACGGCACCGATCGGGGTGATGTACATGGCCGCTCCGCAGTTGACCATGTTCCCGATGCCGCCTGTTCGCGGATCGCAGGAACTCAGCTGGTGCTTCTGGAACAGCCACTTCTCCGCGAAGAAGAGACGCTCGAGTAGCATGGTCTCGCACTGCAGCTCCGAGATCCAGCGCGGCGTCCACGCAATCTGGCGCACCATGCAGTCTGCCATGTCCCACGGGTCCAGGTGGCGCCTCTGCTCGCGGTACACGTGAAGCAGGCACAGCGTCATGAGCGTGTCGTCCGTGTAGATGCCGCCGCCCCGTATCCTCCCTTTGCGCTCTCTGTCGCTCAGGTTCATGCGCCACCACGAGGTATCCAGCGACTCGACCCGGCCGTAGCGCTCGCGGATCTGTGCCGCCGTCAACTTCTCGACCGTTGCGCCGAGCGCGTCGCCGAAGGCTATGCCGTACATCATGGCCCTCACGCGGTTGCCAAACGACAGGGGGTCTTCTTGATAGGCCATGTTAGTGGATGGCGATAATAGTAGTAGATAGCCGCAGCTAAGATGTCTTGGATGTCTCTGTCTTAGCTGATGGGAGCAACGGGATGCCGGAGAGTATAATTGATTCCAGAAAGAGAGTTATATATCTAGAGGAAGTTGGAGCAAAGACCTACAAGCCAGAGAATGCAGCTTGAGAGCAGATCTGCGCTTTGGACTTAGGGAACTCTTACCTGCGGAGAACACCCAGGGCTCGGTGCAACATAATGCACGTGTCTTATTAATCAAACACTCTATCGCAGTTCTTGCGCTTCCATGGTCGGAATAGGCAAGAGTATAGCCTGGCAGGTCTGGATCCAAAGGGTCCAGCAAGCGTCGACAGAGCGAAATTCGCCTTTCTCAGAAGCCAGGGCCCTCCCTCCATCCTGTTCCACTCCAACCCTCTTCTCGGCGAGCTGCATCTGACCTGGCACGACTCGGCAAGTCTAGGGTCTCTTCATGGACCGCCCTAAAGTAGTAATGTAGGCTGGGGTTGCCATTTTGAGAAGTGGTGGGGCTGCCTATGCCTCCGAGTGACGGACCGATACTCGGACCGGGGTTTGGAGATGGACATGGCAGGCAATCAAGCTGGAGAATACAGAAAGCTGGCTACTACATGTCACTTGAGGGTTTCTGGCTAATGATAGCTCTTGAAGTGCTCTCTCCCGGGGTTGTTTTGGATGATTTCTCTGCGATTTGTGGAATCCTTATGGGCGACTGCTTATGCCCTGTCAGACATGTAACTGTAAAGTTGCCAAGCTGAGTAATGGTGTGTTGGAATAATGAGACGCGCTATGCGAAGTGCCCTGCTTTTCGGTTTCTTTAATAGCTTACTGCATCAGGCGACTATCTTTCTCTTTCTCTTGTGCCTTTCTCCCGACTTGTAGCTCGCAGCCCCTCTAAAGTACGCCATAGCCAATATCTTAATACTACTGTTGCCTAATGCGGAACCTCTACAAAGTAAAGGGGGAAATGGGTAATATGTTCGCATGAAGTGAGTCAGCAGTATAATAGAGGTAATTGTGATAGCTAAGGATACTTAGCCTACCAAGCAATCTCTAAGTATAATAGTCAACTTTTTTTTATTTCTCAATAACTATCTACTAGTCTGGTGACTATAAAGGACTCAGCTTGAACAGCAATTGTGGCTGAGCCTCTCTAGGAGTCCAGAGAGTGCCCCGGCCTTTCTCCGCTGTTCCCCTCCACCGGATCCCCCGCTCCCCGCATCATCACGGGTTCAACCCCAGTGGAACTAACCCCAATGTAGACATATAGTCCAGCGTTGCTTCTCTAAGCCTAATGGCCAAGGTCCCCGCCATTGTGGGGAGCAGGAAAAATAGAGACTGCTTCTAGACTTCGCTACCGATCAAACTTCGTGCCCGAATCTACCGAGCATAGCACCAGTCGGGGGGGTCGATTCTTTGCTATCGAGACCCCGTGGGAAACCCAAACTAGTGGGAAACCCCAGATTTGCTGTTGTTGTACATAATGCAGCCGATCCTCATCGACTTGCTCTTATCTATCCCTTTGGAGATCAACCTGGGAACAGCTTCAGTCTCTCCTCTCCTCTTGGTTCTTGCTGCTCTGGTTCAGTCTTACCACGCTGCATAACCCATTCAAGATTGTTGTTTCTCCCTCTATCTCTTCGTTACCCACATATCAAGCTCTTTACACGTCATGGCAACATCGATGGAAGCCAAGCACGCCGAAGCGTCCGTTAACGATGCTGTGGAACACATCCGCGAGTTTAACGACGATGAAGTGATCAAGAACCTCGTCAAGGACGCCAGAACCGCCTCCGACGCTGAGCGTAAGATTTCGCTGATGGAGGGTCTCAGGACCTACCGCAAGGCCGTGGCGTGGTCGGTCGCCCTGTCCTCCTGCATTATCATGGAGGGCTACGATACGCTGCTTATAGGTAGCTTCTTCGCTATGCCATCCTTCAACCGCAAATACGGCGAGCCGGACGGAAAGGGAGGCTATACGCTCACCGCACCCTGGCAGATCGGCCTCACCGCGGGCGTCAGCCTCGGTTCCATGGCCGGAGTCGCGCTGGGAGGCTGGCTGGCTGGGAAGTTTGGATACAAACGCATCATTGCCTTGGCCCTCTCCATGATCACCGGGTTCATCTTCATTACCTTCTTTGCCCCGAACCTTATCGCGCTCCAAATTGGCCTCATCCTCTGCGGTCTCCCGTGGGGCATGTTTCAGTCTGTCACCGTCGCCTACGCGGCCGAGGTCTGCCCGACCAACCTTCGCGGCTACCTGACTAACTACACCAACCTGTGCTGGATCATCGGGCAGATTATCGGCGCTGGTGTCCTTAAGGGGATGGAAACCCTCGACAACGAATGGTCGTTCAGGATCCCCTTCGCCGTTCAGTGGATCTGGCCCATCCCCATCTTAGTCGCCGTCTGCTTCGCTCCTGAGTCCCCCTGGTGGCTCGTCCGCAAGGGCCGCATCCAGGAGGCCGAACGGGCACTGAACAATCTCGGCACCAGCGGCGAGTGGTTTAACGCTAAGGCGACGGTTGCTATGATGATCCACACAAACAAAATGGAGATCGAGAACAGGGAGGGAACCAGGTGGCTAGATGCCTTTAAGGGCGTCAACCTACGTCGTACGGAAATCGTCTGCGGCATCTGGGCGACTCACGCTCTGTGTGGCCAGAAGCTCATGTCGTATTCCATCTACTTCTACACCAAGACCGGCTTGGATCCCTCCAATGCCTTCTCCCTCAGCCTAGGCCAGTTCGCAATCGGTTTTGCCGCTTCTGTTCTCTCGTGGGTTCTGTTGGCTCGCATGGGCCGTCGAACTATTATCCTTGCCTCACTCAGCGCCCAGGCGGTTCTTCTTCTTACTATCGGCTGCCTCGGAATCCCCGATGCCTCGGACGCCACCTCGTGGAGTATAGGCACCCTTATGCTCGTTTTCATGTTCATCTACAACCTCACCGTCGGCCCCGGAACCTACACAATTGCCGCCGAGATCCCCTCGACAAGGATGCGACAGAAAACAATCGCCCTGGGTATCAACACCGGCTATGTCCTCGGCGCCTCCTACACGAATGTCATCGGCCTATACATGCTCAACTCGGCTGGGTGGGACTGGGGCGCCAAAGCTGGCTTCTTCTGGTTCGTGCACTGCTGCCTGTGCCTCCTGTGGGCTTTCTTCCGCCTCCCTGAGCCCAAGGGAAGAACCTACGCGGAGCTCGATATGCTTTTCGAGCAACGAGTCCCTGCGAGGAAGTTTAAGACGGCTGTCGTAGATCCGTACGCGACTCAGCCGAATGAAGTGCAGGAGATTATTAGCAAGGAGGAGTAGTTCACGGTAGGGTGCCTTAAAGTCACCCTCAGCAAAGAGGGGGAGGTGGGGGCGGTGGTTTAACCGTGCCAGGGAGGCCAGAGCAGGACTTTTCAGGGCTAGATTAAAGATCTAGTTCTTTTTATTTCAACTCTTGATGTGCGTTTATTTGCTTGTTCTTAGGTGACATAAGACGTCTTGGAGTGTGTCACACTATAGAGACCCCTAAGCTGGACATGTTACTCTCTGAAGTGAAGTATATTATACATATCCATACGGAGTTTATTACTGCCTGGAATACTTCTCGAATCATGGCCGAAATGACTCGAAGGGTGTACTTCAGCAATTGACTAGTAGTAGTTCATCACAACTATCACGCCTTGGGCCTGTCTATGGGCGCCGTGCTCCTTTAACTTAGCTGTCGTAGAACCAGCCTCCAAGGTCTTCAGAATAAACGGCCATATATTATTGACTATTGCAGCAGCGATTTTAGAAAGCTATAACGTCTCATACTTTTAGGCGCGATAGGCTAGACATGGACGTGTGCTGCTCTGAACAGAATAGAGAAAGAACTTGACTAAGAACAAGGCCCGACGCGGAACTCGTGGATCCCTACACTCCCCGTTGTGGCGATTGCCCCAATGCCACCGCCCTCATACTCGTCGTCATTTGCGGCGACAACCTGCGTGCCATTGACGAAGGCGGTAATAGTTGCCCCTTGAGCGCGAACCTGGACCGAGTACGTCGTGTCCAAATCCCACGGGTACTCCACGCAGGCAAGCTCTGTCCGAGACTCGTCCCTTGCCTTCACGACAGCCACCTCCTTTGCGCCCTTCTTGAAGACGAAGGCGTAGTATCTGTTCAGGCCTCTCACTCGGACTGCCACGCCCGCGCTACCATAGCTGACCATGAGTCCCGGCACGGTCAGGGTGTAGTCTGTCCAGTCTCTTGCTCCCGTCGTGAGGATGCCTTCGCCATGATCCTGGGCGATCCAGAAGGAGAACTCTGGGAATCTGAGGGCGAACGTATCAAGGTTGTGGATCCATGCCCGTGACCAAAAGCTGAAGAGTACACCCGGCCTGGTGAGCTCACGAGGAAGCTCCGCGAGGGCGGAAGGTCGCTTGAGGACGGTATTCGGTGTCCCACCGTACGAGAGCGACTCAAGCCGTAAGACACCTTTGAGATCTCCCTCAGCGGCACAAGTCAATGCGAGCCCAAGCTGTTGTATAGGCAGGCTGTCAAACTCGTCTGGGATCTGCCACCGTAGCGTACACTCGCCGTTGGGGGCCAGAGTGGTGGATGGCCCATCTCGCGTCAGCAGAGTGTCGGTAACGGTGTAGTGCTTCAGCCGCAGATTCACCGCGACGGGTTGACTGTTGGAGCCATCGGCCCTGAGTGCCGCAGTGACTGTTTGCCCGGGGTACACCAGCGGGGATGCCATGAGATCGTACGTTTTCTTCATGGTCTGTACCTCGGTTGGCGTGAATACCTGCGATAAGACCTCGACGGGAGGTGAGGAAGACGACAGACCATCAATGTGAATAGCCAACCCTGTACGTCCGGCGTGATCCACCTCCTGATGCACGTCAACGGCGCTTCCAGGGGACTTGTTCTCGCCGACCATGAAGCCTTGCACGCTTCCCGGCAGGGTGAAGTGAAATTGTGCCCCTGCCTTGGGTGAAGGCAGAGCGTCTTGGCCCGCAAGCCGTCGACCGCTGTTGGCCACGTCATACGCGATTCGTGCGGCGTTGTTCACAGAGTAGCCTCCGTCTGCGCTCGAGACCAAGGCTCTATCGGCCAATGGACCAGTCCAGTCAGGGCCACCCTCGAAACTGGCCATTCCATGCATCAGAGCCACCAGGCACCCAATGTTACCAGAGTTGCAGTCTGTGTCCCAACCAGCCGTGTTGATAATGTGCATTGCTTTGTGGAAGCTGTCGCCACCATAGACAAGGGCTAGTATCATGAGACCATGGTTCGGTATGACGTGACATGGACCCTTGTACTTGTCGTAGCCATAATTATCCTCGATCCGCTGACGGGTTTTCTCCCAGTCCTGGTCGGTCTCTGCCCATTGTCGGATGTCGGCAATCAGCCTCCTCAGTGGTGATTCATCTGATATGAAGCTTAGTCCCACAGACAGGAGATGATTGACGTCCTTGGACTTGAAAGCCTCAGCTTCCATGGCTGCCCATAGGACTGCGGCCTCTGCGGAGACGCCGTCGTGGCTAACAGATGCTGCCGCGCGGGCCAGCTTGGCTGCAAGCGAAGGGTTCCCAGGAGCCACCAGACCCCAGCCATCGATGAAGATTTGGCCGCCGATTTGCTCGGCTACTGTTTTGCCGTTCGTTTCGATGGAGCCACTGGCGGGCGCCTTGATGCCGTGCTTCAGGTTGAGATACGCCGTGTGTTCAGTTGAGATGCCTCGGCCTCCCCACCAGAAAATAGACTTCTTCTCGACAGTGTTGTTCAGCCAGGTCCTCCCAACGTCTTCAGCAATAGCTTCGAAGTTGGTGTCGGCCGAGATGCCATGTTCTTCCAAGGCTCGTATAAAGACGAATGTCCCCGAGACATCGTCATCGGTCACCACCAGCGGTGATTTGACCTTGTCGTGAACATAGTAGTGGATTGGACCCAGCTCTTTCAAGATTCGTTGGTAGGTCCATTGCTCGAAAGGGCGGCCAAGATAGACTCCAACCAGCTTTCCCAAGACACCAGCATATGTTCTCTCCAGATAGTCTTCTGGGGTTGCGTGACCGGCCATGGTCAAGCTCTCGTGCAGCGCTTCACGATGAAAATGGACGCGAGACGCACGGAGAAAGCTGGTCAGGGATGTCTGTCCGCGAAAATGCAGCGAATGAGATGCTGAAGGAAGCAAAATGATGTCCAGCTCCTGTCTGCTGTACAAGCAAGCTCCTAACGGTAGTTGTCTAGGGTTTAGCGAGCATGAGCATCATCAAGACACACATAATATGGAGTTTTGGTCGAATGCTGCGCCCCCGTGGTGAACTACCCCGCCGGCCGGTCTCGGCCTGTTTGGTGTGGATTCTTCCGGGGTCTGTGGAGTCGGGCGGCGGTGAACTGTCTCTGCGCTTAGGGAACCACATGGAGTAACTGAACGGGACTATCAAGGCTCATCCAGAACTTCAAGCCAACCAACAGGTGAGGAAAAGGCGCACCTGGCGACGACTACGAAATAATGGCGCTTGAACGACGTCAAATTCCCCTGCTCGTGGCCTTGGCATGCAGAGCTGCGCCATCCCGAGGGCCCTTAGTTTGTTACGGCCCTTGGGGGCTCCAGCGGTAGAAATTGCCCAGCCATGTCAGAGAAGGGTAATGTGAGGCTAAGTTACCGAATCAGGATAGAGAAACGCTTCCATCCATCCACCTTTCTCTAGCTCCTGTATGCATGCCCACATATTCCGAACTACCCCTGTCGAGACCATCTTCAGTGGCACGCTTGGCAGTAGATGGACCATCTCGGTAGATGGAGGCTGAATAACCCTTTCCAGCCATCTGCTTGCCGGACCCCCTCCGAGCATGCTTGAGCCCCCAAATTCGCTCGAAACCTTGACTCCTTTCACTAGCCTCGTCGTCGTGAGCGGGCCCATCGGAAACCCTATAACCAAAGCGGCAAATTTCAGAACCAGGCTATGCATTTCGTGGGCGGCCGTGACAGGTAGCAGCTTGCCTTCTGCTCGAGAAGAGTTGGGAGACGAGGATTATACTCCAAGATGAAGAGAAACACAAGGCCCACGAGTCCATCTTCCGAGGCTGGAATTCGATGCGAGCCATAACAGTCACGGAACAAAGAGCCTTCAATACCGTATTGGCAGAGGTGGATAAGGCTCGGATTACCTCAGTACGGGATTTCTGCTTCCCATCTGCTGATCATCTTGCAGCACAATGGAGTGTATTCCTTGCCCTTACTCCTGTTGGACTCTCAAGCCCTTTTATTTGAGCATGCAGCCTACATTCTAGCTTTCTTAACATTTTGAAATAGTCGCTGGTCCAATTCAATTGACTCTCATAAAGTCCTTCTTAGGTATTAATACAGCTGTCTGTTACTCTTTTTTTTGCGAAGCTCGTTGTATATCCCGCAGCTCCTGCGTCTCCTTTTCCAAGCGAATTCCCGTGGCCGCCGTCACTTTCTGGAAAACCTGGAGAACCGCCTCGTGTTGCGATTCGTGTGTCAGCTTTCGTGCACTCCTGAACAACGCCGCGATGAAAATAGGCTCCCATTGGCCTGGATAATCATTGCTAGTCGCGATACCAGCAATGCATTGGATATGCCTGGTAGAGGAAGCTACCTGGCTTCCGTCGTCGGCGACTCGGCACAGCCGCGGCTTGCGAATCGTGAGAAAGAAGCAAGCCGTATGGTAGGCGACGTTTGCTACCACCGCCAAGGGCAAAGAGAAGATAAGGATAGGAAGATGACAGCTCTCGTTGCGGCTGATGCGCGTAGCTTCCAGGATATTTACAGACATTGTCGGCTGCATTTCCACGGGTCGATCGCGATACCAGTCTTGACATTGGTGCCACAAACTTGTCCAACTCTCACTAGGCAAAGGATACTCTTGGAAGACAGAATCCGTGAATGCTTGAGAATGCTCGCTCCGCGGCTTCCCAGGCTGCGTGTAGATCAAGTCTAGAACTTTGGCGAGAAGGATCACGGAGGAAAGGTACACGTATCTCAAAAGATAACGGCGATCGCCCTCACGGGGTATGCTCAGGAGGCTCGCCAACGGCACGGTGATGCTGAGCGGTGTCCGGGACATGAGGGAGGCTGCAATGTCTGGAGGTTGGTTATTTGAATCAGCACTGTCACTAGAGAGGTGTTACATCTGCAGTATTTACTCATCTTGACAAGTAATCAAAAGGCGGAATTCGTCAGATCCTGTTGCGTAGGCATGAAGCTCACTATTTCCTGAAATGACAGGCGCTGCGTGACAAAGTCCCTCCACTGGTGAGGTCTCAAGCATGAAAAGTCCCTGAATAGGAGAAGGCTTTGCCGGACATGCCAAAGGGGGTTTTCCTTTGGCAAAAGAATCTGATCTATCTCCTGTTGGGGGCAGATCATGTCTTCCACGTGCCCGATCGTGCTGCTCTGTGTCCGCAATGCGCGATGCCGGGCAGCAAGCGCAAGGATAGCGTGCCGGAGGGACGCCTCGGAACCAGCCAACATCGGGACTTTGACGCTGAATGAGCACCATGGGTCGCCGACATCTAACAGAGGGGAGACCTGATAGCGATAGTAGCGCAGTAGAGAAATCTCTGAGCTGACGGCTCGATCCGTCATAGAGGAACCTGGATCACCCGGGGCAGCTGGGAACAACGCGTTGGATCCGGGACGAGATCCGACGGATGGCGACACTCGTGCGGGCGATGAGCAGCTAGTACGTCTCGGTGGAAGATCCAGGCTACCAGCAGTGCCTGTTTGGCAGGTGTCCATCGGGAGGCTCTCCCCTTGATCAAATGTGCCATCGTCGAAGACGAAGATGTTGCTCGGCTCAACAGGTCCATGCGGCTGAATGCCCGTCTGTTGGGGCTGCCAGGCGATTGGGGAGGTTTCGGGACTCGAAGCTTGAAGATGATCAAACGAGCCATCATTTACAAACTTCAGCTCGTCTTGGTCAGCTTCTTGTCACGTACTCTGAGCCACCACGGATTCATCACGTAACACTAACCCTGAATTCACGCTGTGGGGGCACCGAAGCCGCCGAGTTATCGTTGGTTTCCACAACAGGCGCTTGCTGGACGGAGGCGAAGATGAAGGTCGCAGGGTATTGGCAAGTTGATCCTTTGGACAGACAGTTGTCGCAGGTAGGCCTACGCTCATCGCCTACACACCCAGATAGTTAGATATTGCAACAACTCCCAGAACAAGCCGGCCACTCACATTTTCGATGACGTCGCCGGCACGGCCAGCAGCCTGTTCGGACACGCTGCTTGGACTGTGGACGATTTCGTGGGCCGTCGTCCCCAGGGGACGCACGGTTGGCCATGCAGTCGAGAGTGCCTGCAGCATTTGTGCAGGCGAAGAAAGGGACTGGCCGACAGCAGAGTCGGGCGTGCTGTGTCAGGACAGCCGCATCCGAGTCCCGCGCTGCTGTAGCTTCCTTGTGCCAGCGGTCATTAGCGTTGCCTTAGGTAATCCACGTGTTGTGCCGGTTTCTGACTGGCCCGCTGGGGACACGAGATCGGGTTGGCCAGCCTCCGGGCGGCGGGCATGGTACCGCTTACAAACCTCATTATACCTCTCATTGCAAATCTGTCAGCACGGTCCGGTGAGTTCATTGGTCTTTGGATTATCACGTGATGAACTACTCCACTATCATCTAGATTCCCAATTTTTATTGCTGTGATCGCCGGGAACACTGCAACACGTACTGGCAGCCGTCGGCTTGAATCATACCGGAATAGGCTATGACTCTTACGTCAAGTCCTCGAAGCGGACCACCGTCACCGACGTTCTACCCCCCCGAAATCTGCTCTGGGGCCCCGACATATTCATCAAAGGAACCATGCGCTGTAAAAGAGTCCGAAGCCGACGTTGTCTACCTCGGGACGTTTCCGCGACGACCAGACCACGAGAGCGATAAGAATTCAACACCAGACTCCAACACAGCCGATGGCGGAATCCACAACCCCAAAAATAGACGCAGCGGTCCTGACCGACGAACCAAATCTAGCCAGGTGACGGGCAAGGGCCCGGGCTGCAAGACGGTACCAGCGTCGATAAGAAACCAAAATATTCGAATAGGTTATGCAAGAGACTCCAAAAGACAGGTAAATGGTTGTTTCGACGAGCAAAGACGCTTCCGCCGCCTGGTAGAAGTTGACTTTGGCGGAGCGGATCCATTCATAGTCTGGAAGCCGATCCCACACGAACAGGTGCTATACAGACGACCGTATCAAAATAAGTCAAGTCGACAGGTGCGAGATGCGGTCCAGCAGCGATTGACGGAAGCATCCATTAGTTCAGCGTCCCAGGGAGAGATATAACTGTCTCCGCTAACACTCCATTCACCGTACCTAGAGTTCACTCGCTTGCAACAAAGCAGTAGCTGTCACATCAGTTTGAAGAATCCTGTGGTATTGGTATTTTCTATAGGGCATCTATGGGCAGGCCAAACCCTGCCCGTGTTTCTCACATTCAGTATTGTCAGGCCGCTCTGTCGGAATATTAGGAAAATTCTCTTTCCGTTGGATAATGATGAATGTAGGATGAGTAGAGATTTATCAGAACGTACGGCGTTGAAGGGCCGAAGTCACTAGTAAGATGAAATCTGGACATGGCACAAGAGGCTGCGTCTCGACTTAGCGAACTTGGGAGTGATCGTGGACCAGGTCGTGTATAGTACGGCGTATCTCATCAAGTGGGACTCGAACCGGCCCTGTTGGCGGTCTAAATCTCCAGCGTTTGCCGGATATCCTCGAGCGGGACCCTAACCGGTTCTGCTTGAGGCAGTCGAGGACCTAACCGAGAACACTCACTTGATTCTACACATGGAGGAGTACTACCAATTACTGTAGTACGCGCATAGCAGTTATACTTTGTCAGATGAGATCTCAGGTCAGGGCTCCTAATGCCCGGCCCACAAAATCTGCAATCTCTAGCGATAGTTCTGGTCTCCAAGTTCGGCCCCTCGATGACCAACCCCGTCTAATTCTGTTCGAGGCGGCGCTGAGTAGTTTCGTTGGTCAAGCTCGCTTGGACAAGCGGTCCAGCGGTTATGCCCATGATTAACGCCATTCCACCCTGTAGATGCCATTTCCTGAGGTCTCCCGTTATAATCAGGACTTTTCCAATAATCTGGGCTTGTTTATAGCTGTGGATAAGGCGGACTTGGTTGCGTATAGCTTCCCGTTGGTTGTTTCTGCTTCCCGATGCCGTCTAAAGAGGAATAGACCTAGGCCAACATATATAAGGCCAAAGCAAACAGCCCTAGAGCAATGCCAACAATACCACCAGTTGACAGCGATGTGAAGCCTCCACCATGCTCAGCCGTAGCCGAAGAATCTAATGATAATTTCATTGTCACTAATGATGTTAAAGTGGACCGTGATGACCTGTCCCGGTAGATGTCGACAAGTAGTCGGCG